AAGACGGCAATAATCGGAGGCCGTCGAATGGAAGACACGAGTGAAAATATCATATTTTTTATGATTATTAAAAGACAAAACAAGAGCGCTTAATTCTGGCCGATTTGGCTCCCTCTGTGCCGTTCGTAGTCAAGCGGAACCGTAGACAATGCAACTACCAGGTGAGTGGAACTAGCGGAATAATTGAGAACGAAGAAGAAATCAGTTGAGCCGTAAACTATCAGTACCGGTTCAAGAAATATGACCCTGCCAAGAACCAACCTCTTGTTGGATTCATCCATGAAATGAGTCACTACCTACAGACATCATATCAGCACAGCTACTCAACCACGGGCCTGTCGTTTCAAATATTTTGCTGAGTACTGTTCTGAATCAAAGCTTATGCTACCTCAGACTCCAGTTGAAAGCTGAACGTTACCTTGGATTTATTCACTAGGTTACCGAGACGTAAACAAAAGTTAATAGCGTTATTAACCACTAAAAGAAACGCGTACAGTGGAAAGCTTCTGAAAGCAGCATTCACGATTTTTGAAGAGATCTGCATCCGTCGGTAGTACAAGGCGCAGGAGACAGACGTTATGCAGAAACCTTTGAGAAACCTTCCCCAAACAGCGGGCCGAAAAGCAATGATGACAATTACCATAACTTCAGTCATCAGTATTTCTTAACCATTATTACTTTACAATGAGGTAGCTGGAAACGGTTCGACATCACCAGGTAGCCACTAACGATGGCTTTGGATTCAACTCGCTTTTTAACTCTTTGAATATAAAGCCCTTATAAAACTAACATGACAGTCAGAGTTCAACTCAACTTTGCTGAAGCACCTGAAATTCATCTAAATTCGATCCGACCGATCTAGAAGTCAAGTCTCATAAAGTCATGAGTGAAGGCAGTCAGTACTTCGATGGACTTGATTTGACAGGAGATTTGGTACTGTCGCGTTGAGGATTACGGACCACGCAGCCTGTCTGCTTGGTGGTGGATCTGGATCATCAGGCAGGTGTTCCTGAGCACTGGTCTCCGCAACTCCAAAAGCGTATTGGGGTTTCAAAGGGAATAAACGAATAAACGTTCTGCCAGTAAGAGAAAGTCTTCTGACTGAAAGGAATGAGGTTAAAAGTCAAAAGATTGATTCTATCAGCAGAACAAATATGATGTACTGTAGTCGTTCATATTTTCAATATTTTGATAGCACAAATTGATGTCATAAATCAGGTGCAATGGGAATGCTTGGACCTATTTTGTTTAGGTCATTAGGTTTGGTCTTCGCCAACAAGCTCGAAATGACAAAATATCGTTCGGCCGCCTTCGCATTGTTACCGAATAGCTGAGGCTAAACCGTTTGATTGTTATTTCAATGCGGGTGCGAAGCAACACAAACAAACCATATTTTAAACGGCAGCCAGCTTCAAGCACAGAACTTATTTAACATTAGTCTAGAATACCGTTTATGGTTTAAAAAAAAATGTTTTTCTGAACTTTGGTTCGTTTACTGCGAACACATGACGATTCAGAAGCGTATTTTCAAAAGCAGGACCAAGTACGGTAGAGCAGCGCATGACGCAAATCAAATGACTGACCAGTACCGACGTTTCGGCCTGTATCTACTGAAACCTCTTCGAGGTAAAGTGATAAACGAGTCGCGGAAGTCCATCTGATAGTCCAGAGGGCGAACTCCTGGTCCAAGCTACCGGTCGCGTAGATTTTTGGCATCAGGGGTGACGAGGTTGTCCCACTTATGCGCCGATTGAATGAGCCTAGTCGCCTCTGTTACCAGAACACTACTTGACCGGCAGCATGGTCCAAAAGCTCGCTTTCCGGCTGCTGCAGAATTCACGACCAGAAGGTCATCAAATGCTCGTTCACGTCTTTACTTTGAAAAACGCCCATCGGACACTGGTCGAAACGTCGTTGCTGGCCAAAGCCAAACGTTTGCGGTCTGTGTAAGTAAATCGGGTTTCATTTCTTTTCACGATATGCCCATCAGTGCAACGACAAAACGCTCAAGCCTACGTCTACTTTATTTCACGGTGAACAGCTGGCAAAAATTCCCAAAGAACACGAGGCATGCTCGCGTCAAATTTAGGTGGAGACCGAATTAATTATGGACGTAATTAGCATCTCTGCTATTCGCTGACAAAGTAAAAACGTAATATGGAGTAATGGACAGGGGTAATTATTTTTAACTGAAAGATGAATTAACTGAAAAATTGTTAAATGCATCACAAGACTCTTTGACACAACTCAACAAACGACTAGTACCATGATTTCATTCCAATCGATGAGAGAATCGTTGCTGTACGGGCTCGAAATAGCTGCTGTTACAAAGCCTCACGAAAAAATATTTAACTCTGTCCACCAGCACTGGTCATGAAGCACGATTGTAGAATCGGGTGAGGAAGCGTCGTGTCGTTGCATTGACTGACTTCAAAGAAACATTGCAGAAGTTCTGAGGGAGGGAGGGAGGAAGGGAGGGAGAAGGATAGTACGGTTTGATCAACGCTCTGCTAGCGCGCCAGTTGCTTACGTGGAAGCGGACGAAGGGTAGTGAAAAGTAACGGAAGTTGTGCGTACACTTCTGAAGGTTGCTTTTCTCAGCTGCCATTACTAAAACGACTTGTACAGTCATTGGACAGTATGCGTAATGTAAAGCACCGGTTGTTCAGCACACGTGAGAAAAATCGTCAACAATTTTTTACTCCGCTCAACGATTTACATTTCAAAGGTTTATCATCGTACAGATGGCAACAGTTGCCTCGCAGCAGCGTCGTTTGCGTGACTG